TGGATTTAATTTTTTTTTTTTTTTTAATTTTTTAATTTTTTTTTTTAAATTTTTTAAATCCAATTCCCATTTTTACAAACTCTTTGGCCGGTCGTTCGCTGGATTCTGGCCTCCAACAGTGAGTTTTCTTCTCTATTTTTTATTTTTTTGGTAAATAAATGACAAAAAGAAATCAGGGTGAGATTTATTTTTTTTTTACCCCACCAGGTCCTGGGGTGAGAAAAAGGGCTAAAAAGGGAGAAAAAGGGCTAAAAAGGGCTAAGAAGGGATAAAAAGGGCTAAAAAGGGATAAAAAGGGATAAAAAGGGATTAAAAGGAAACATCTCCTTCCACTGGGGGTGGGAACATCCTTATTGGGGCCAAACCAGTTTTCCAGATCATTTGCCTTTCGAATTTCAATTTTATTTATTTATGGATTTTTAGGGGGAATTCTAGAAGAGACAGAGACGTGGGTGGGTGGAGGCAGCTCCTAAGGAGATTCTTCCTCCTTCTCCTCCTCTTCTTCCTCCTCCTCCTTTGCCTTCTCCACCCGGTACTTGAGGCGGCGCAGGGGGTCGGTGATGCTTCTGGGGCTCCTCTGGTCGAAATCCTCGGCCAGACGGAAATTGCGATCCAGCAGCTCGGCCGCCTCCTGCCAGTTTGGGAAGCAGGAAGGTCCCAGGCGCCGGATCTCCTCCACGGCGTTGGGCAGGATCACCTCCCCCGTGGGCTTCAACACCACCACGGCCGGCACCTCCGCCACCCCGAACCGCTGCTCCAGCTCCCTGCGGGGCACGGGACACGCTCGTCGGGGAGGGGGTCTACTCTTCCTCACTGCTTCTCATCATCCTCACTGCTTCCTCATCCTCCTCCCAGGTCCTCATCCTCCTCCTTGCTCCTCAGCTTCCTCCCTGGTCCCCATCCTCCTCCCTGCTCCTCAGCATCTTCCCCAGTCCTCATCCTCCTCACTGCTTCCTCATCCTCCTCCCAGGTCCTCATCCTCCTCCTTGCTCCTCAGCTTCCTCCCTGGTCCCCATCCTCCTCCCTGCTCCTCAGCATCTTCCCCAGTCCTCATCCTCCTCACTGCTTCCTCATCCTCCTCCCAGGTCCTCATCCTCCTCCTTGCTCCTCAGCTTCCTCCCTGGTCCCCATCCTCCTCCCTGCTCCTCAGCATCTTCCCCAGTCCTCATCCTCCTCACTGCTTCCTCATCCTCCTCCCAGGTCCTCATCCTCCTCCTTGCTCCTCAGCTTCCTCCCTGGTCCCCATCCTCCTCCCTGCTCCTCAGCATCTTCCCCAGTCCTCATCCTCCTCACTGCTTCCTCATCCTCCTCCCAGGTCCTCATCCTCCTCCTTGCTCCTCAGCTTCCTCCCTGGTCCCCATCCTCCTCCCTGCTCCTCAGCATCTTCCCCAGTCCTCATCCTCCTCACTGCTTCCTCATCCTCCTCCCAGGTCCTCATCCTCCTCCTTGCTCCTCAGCTTCCTCCCTGGTCCCCATCCTCCTCCCTGCTCCTCAGCATCTTCCTCAGTCCTCATCCTCCTCCCCGCTCCTCATCCTCCTCACTGTTTCTCATCCTCCTTCCTAGTCCTCATCCTCCTCCCTGCTCCTCAGCTTCCT